GCTGAGAGAGGTGCGGGTGCAACACCAAGGGTTGCGATCCCGTTGCCGGTCCCGGTCCGGTACGGGCGCGACACTGAGGGTTGCGATCCGTTGCCAGTCACAAAAAAAGAGACAAAAAGGGGAAAAAAAAAAAAAACAAAAAAAAACAGACTTTAAATCAAAATCTATACCAAGAGATGAGGAAGGGCATTACATAGTGATAGAGGGAGTAATACAGCAAGAGGGTATAACAATTATAAATATATATGCACCCAACACTGGAGCAACCAGATATACAAAGCAAATATTATTATATCTTGTTGGGAAAATATAAAGAAAATGGTCAGGGCCCCTCGGATGTTCAGAATCTTGCTGAGTGTCTGGTGTGCATGGGGCCATGTTGAGGCTTGCCTTTCCCTTCTGACCACTTCTACACTGGGCTGCAGCCACTGCCGGGTGTTTTGGATTATGGACTTGAGTATAAAAGGACTAATGGCTCTGATGTGTGAAGCTTCCACAGATGCTCTGGGAAGCCATTAGGGTGGCTGCTCCTAGCTCTGAATAAAGTCTATTATTTTTTCACCCATTGCTCCCAGGACCTTTTCCTATAACCTATCTCATAGACTTGCGTGTGGAGGGTTTGTGACCCAGTCTGTACAATGGGCTCGAGGGGTCTGTGAGCCCTAGCCCTAGCTTTACAGATCTAATTGGAGAGATAGATGCCAACACAATAGTAGTTGGGGACTGTAACAACCCACTATCAGCATTGAACAGATCACCAAGACAAAAAATCAACAAAGAAAAATCAGATGTAAGTGGCTCCATAGGCCAGATGGGCCTAACAGACATTTATAGAACATTTCATACAATAGCTGTAGAATACATATTTTTCTCATCAGCACATGAAACATCCTCCAGGACTGACCATATGTTGAGCTATAAAACTAGTCTCAACAAGTTCAAAAAAATCGAAATCATCATATCAGGTATCTTTTCTGACCACAATAGAATAAAACTAGAAATTAATAGCAAGAACTTTTGAAACTACACGTATACATGGAAATTAAACAACCTGCTCCTGAAAGACCAATAATTCCAAGAAGAGATTAAGAAGGAAATAAAAAAAATCTTGAAATAAATGAGGACAGAAACACAACATATCAACATGTATAGGATATAGCCAAGGCAGTGTTAAGAGGAAAGTTTATAGCAATAAATGCCTAAATAAAAAAAAAAATAGAAAGATCTCAAATAAAAAACCTAACAATGCACCTCTAGGAACTAGAAAAGCAAGAACAAACCAAACCTAAAATAAGTAGAAGAAAAGAAATAATAAAAATCAGAGTAGAAATAAATGAAATTGAGACTAAAAATATAAGTGATTAGTGAAGTGAAAAGCTGTTCTTTTGAAAAGATAAACAAAATCAACAAAACATTAGCCAGACTAACCAAGAAAAAAAAAAAAGAAAAGACCCAAATAAATAAAATCAGAAATGCAAAAGGAGACCTTATAGCTGATACCATTGAGATACAAATGCTCAACAAATTAGGTATGGAAGGAAAGTATCTTCATACAGTAAAGGCTATATATGACAAACTCACAGTTAACATCATGCTGAATGGGGAAAAAGCTGAAAGGACACAGGATTGGGCAAAGATTTTATGGAAAGACTTTTAAAGCACAAGCAACAAAAGCAAAACTAAAAAAATGGAATTATATCAAACTAAAAACCTTCTGCACAACAAAGGAAACAATCAAAACCTTCTGCACAACAAAGGAAACAATCAAAACCTTCTGCACAACAAAGGAAACAATCAGAGTGAAAAGACAGCTGCAGAATGGGAATAAGTATTTGCAAACTGTACATCTGACAAGGGATTAATATCTAGAATATACAAAGGACTCAACTCAATAGTAACAAAACAAATAATCTGATTAAAAAATGGGCAGGGGACTGGCTGGTTAGCTCAGTTGGCTGGAGTGTGGTGTCATAACACCAGGGTTAAGGGTTTGGATCCCCATACCCGCAGCCAGTCACCAAAGGAAAATAAAAAGGGCAAATGAGCTGAGCAGACATTTCTCAAAAGAAGACATATAAATGGATAACAGGTGTATGATAAAAGACTCAACATTACTATCATCAGAGAAGTGCAAATCAAAACCACAGTGAGGTATCATTTCACCCCAGTTAGAATGGCTGTTATCAAAAAGACAGAAAGTAACAAATGCTGACATGGCTGCGGAGAAAGGGGAACTCATTGCATTGTTGGTAGGAATGTAAATTAGTACAGCCATTAAGGAATACAGTATGGAGATTTCTCAAGAAACTACAGATAGAGCTACCATACGATCCAGCAGTCTCGCTACTGGGTATATATCCAAAGGAACGGAAATCATCGTGTCAAAGGGTCACCTGCACTCCCATGCGCATCACGGCTCCATTCACAATAGCCAAGAGTTTGAACCAACCTAAATGTCTACCAGTGGATGATCGGATAAGGAAAATGTGGTGTACATACACAATGGAATACTACTCAGCCATAAAAAATAATTAAATTCTGGGCCGGCCCGGTGGCGCAATGGATAGTGCGCCGCTTGGGAAGCGCGGTGGCGCTCCCGCCCGAGGGTTTGGATCCCACATACAGACCGGTTCCCGCTCACTGGCTGAGCGAGGCGCGGGAGCAACGCCGAGGGTTGCGATGCCGTTGCCGGTCCCGGTCCGGTACGGGCGCGACACTGAGGGGTGCGATCCGTTGCCGGGCACG